ATGTTTCTAGCTCTTGTATGACTGGACCAAATTCACATGGACTAAATATAATTTTGTTCATGAGCTACTACAGCATAGAACATAATAAATAACAGTTTTAGTTTTATAACTTTTTTTTTTTTTCACTACACCCAATTTTGTTACAACCTTATGCAGGTTCATCATACCCTTTTATGGGGCTATCTGGTGAGTGGTGAAGCACGTACAAAATTAGGACAGCTTGTTGGTGCTCAGGAAGCCCTAAGCCATGCTCTCCATCACACACGGATATACACAAGAATGGTAAGAATGTTTTTTCTTCATCAGGTATTCTTTTGTATTTACTTTTTTTTGTGTTTTTGCATTCATTTATCATAATCCTGTTTGATTCTTTCATTGCTAGGACAGTTTCCTGACCTTAAAATTTACACAAAATAATAAGTTTATCCTACATAATAGGTGTCCAAACGGAAAAAGAAACTGACACCCTCACTGACGATGGACCGAGCTTTGGATCTACAAGTGAAGGTCTTATCAGCCCAAGCCACTCTCTACACCAAGAGAGGGAAGTTTTCCAAAGCTAAAGTAAGATACTTCTTGGGCTTTTTACTTACCAGTAATTTAAAGAAAGGGGATGCTTCTTTCATTTTATTTTACCCAAAAGGACCAACAATACATTAGGGGGTGAAAAAGAGTTGAATGATGAGCAAACAAGAGAGAATGTTTAAAAAAATGCATAAGAGGTGAACAAAGGGAGTTCCTATGCTGGGTGACATTAATTTTCTTGTTCTTTTCCCCAAATTTGTATTTGCCATGCAGCAGGGTTGGAAGCCATCAAAACTACTTATCAGATTTAATTAATTTGGCTGAATTAAAGTGTGATTTTTTTCTCAACTCATCATATTAAGTGATATTAATCACAGATCTTGGTGACTAAGTCAGTTTGAAGAGAGAGAGAGAGAGAGAGAGAGAGAGAGAGAGAGAGAGAGAGAGAGAGAGAGAGAGAGAGAGAGAGAGAGAGAGAGAGAGAGAGAGAGAGAGAGAGAGAGAGAGAGAGAGAGAGAGAGAGAGAGAGAGAGAGAGAGAGAGAGAGAGAGAGAGAGAGAGAGAGAGAGAGAGAGAGAGAGAGAGAGAGAGAGAGAGAGAGAGAGAGAGAGAGAGAGAGAGAGAGAGAGAGAGAGAGAGAGAGAGAGAGAGAGAGAGAGAGAGAGAGAGAGAGAGAGAGAGAGAGAGAGAGAGAGAGAGAGAGAGAGAGAGAGAGAGAGAGAGAGAGAGAGAGAGAGAGAGAGAGAGAGAGAGAGAGAGAGAGAGAGAGAGAGAGAGAGAGAGAGAGAGAGAGAGAGAGAGAGAGAGAGAGAGAGAGAGAGAGAGAGAGAGAGAGAGAGAGAGAGAGAGAGAGAGAGAGAGAGAGAGAGAGAGAGAGAGAGAGAGAGAGAGAGAGAGAGAGAGAGAGAGAGAGAGAGAGAGAGAGAGAGAGAGAGAGAGAGAGAGAGAGAGAGAGAGAGAGAGAGAGAGAGAGAGAGAGAGAGAGAGAGAGAGAGAGAGAGAGAGAGAGAGAGAGAGAGAGAGAGAGAGAGAGAGAGAGAGAGAGAGAGAGAGAGAGAGAGAGAGAGAGAGAGAGAGAGAGAGAGAGAGAGAGAGAGAGAGAGAGAGAGAGAGAGAGAGAGAGAGAGAGAGAGAGAGAGAGAGAGAGAGAGAGAGAGAGAGAGAGAGAGAGAGAGAGAGAGAGAGAGAGAGAGAGAGAGAGAGAGAGAGAGAGAGAGAGAGAGAGAGAGAGAGAGAGAGAGAGAGAGAGAGAGAGAGAGAGAGAGAGAGAGAGAGAGAGAGAGAGAGAGAGAGAGAGAGAGAGAGAGAGAGAGAGAGAGAGAGAGAGAGAGAGAGAGAGAGAGAGAGAGAGAGAGAGAGAGAGAGAGAGAGAGAGAGAGAGAGAGAGAGAGAGAGAGAGAGAGAGAGAGAGAGAGAGAGAGAGAGAGAGAGAGAGAGAGAGAGAGAGAGAGAGAGAGAGAGAGAGAGAGAGAGAGAGAGAGAGAGAGAGAGAGAGAGAGAGAGAGAGAGAGAGAGAGAGAGAGAGAGAGAGAGAGAGAGAGAGAGAGAGAGAGAGAGAGAGAGAGAGAGAGAGAGAGAGAGAGAGAGAGAGAGAGAGAGAGAGAGAGAGAGAGAGAGAGAGAGAGAGAGAGAGAGAGAGAGAGAGAGAGAGAGAGAGAGAGAGAGAGAGAGAGAGAGAGAGAGAGAGAGAGAGAGAGAGAGAGAGAGAGAGAGAGAGAGAGAGAGAGAGAGAGAGAGAGAGAGAGAGAGAGAGAGAGAGAGAGAGAGAGAGAGAGAGAGAGAGAGAGAGAGAGAGAGAGAGAGAGAGAGAGAGAGAGAGAGAGAGAGAGAGAGAGAGAGAGAGAGAGAGAGAGAGAGAGAGAGAGAGAGAGAGAGAGAGAGAGAGAGAGAGAGAGAGAGAGAGAGAGAGAGAGAGAGAGAGAGAGAGAGAGAGAGAGAGAGAGAGAGAGAGAGAGAGAGAGAGAGAGAGAGAGAGAGAGAGAGAGAGAGAGAGAGAGAGAGAGAGAGAGAGAGAGAGAGAGAGAGAGAGAGAGAGAGAGAGAGAGAGAGAGAGAGAGAGAGAGAGAGAGAGAGAGAGAGAGAGAGAGAGAGAGAGAGAGAGAGAGAGAGAGAGAGAGAGAGAGAGAGAGAGAGAGAGAGAGAGAGAGAGAGAGAGAGAGAGAGAGAGAGAGAGAGAGAGAGAGAGAGAGAGAGAGAGAGAGAGAGAGAGAGAGAGAGAGAGAGAGAGAGAGAGAGAGAGAGAGAGAGAGAGAGAGAGAGAGAGAGAGAGAGAGAGAGAGAGAGAGAGAGAGAGAGAGAGAGAGAGAGAGAGAGAGAGAGAGAGAGAGAGAGAGAGAGAGAGAGAGAGAGAGAGAGAGAGAGAGAGAGAGAGAGAGAGAGAGAGAGAGAGAGAGAGAGAGAGAAATAATTTGTTTCAAACAGCATCTCTAATTACTGCAAATAATAGAAAAATGATTTAAGAGTTAAATTTGAAATTCTGAGGTCTGCTAAAAAATTACTAGAGGTGCATCTTTTCATGTAACGTTTTTTTTTTCTTTTTTTTTCTTTTTTTTTTTTTTTTTTTTTTGTATATTATGCTTAAGGCATTACCAGTACTTTTAGAACCATTTTTCTAGTGGCTGAAGTATCTGTTACTTTTTGGTATAAGTCAAGGACTATTTTAAAGTCTGCAAACACTAGCAATCCCTCCCATCTTTGTGTATAAATATGAAAATTTGTGTTTCAGAATAAAGGTCATACAATATGATATAATGATATAATATATGAATGCCAAAGACGAGATAAAGTGTTGAAACAGAAAAAGACCTTCCTATTGTTCACCTGTCCCCATCATACATCAAGAATAAAATCTGAATTGGCTGGAGAAAAGCTGTCATTTATACATTTTTATTCATGCATTTTGCATTTTCCATGGCCACCTCTCTCAAACCAAACCAATATATACGGCCCACAATTAACAACACCTAACTCCACCACACAGGAGAGACTTGAACTAACCATCAGCACCATAGAAAAAGAAGGAACAGGAGTTGAAGATCCTGGTCTGGTTGTCCCTTTGCAACAGCTCGGACAGCTCTTCCTGAACAACGGGGAGGCAGACGAGGATGCTGAGACTGGCCTGGAATGTCTGGCCCGTGCAGTGAATATTACGCAAGTGAGGTATGAAATTATTGGCTTGTCACTCCTTTTTTTTTCTTTCTGTTAGTCTTTAAATTTTAAGAGAGATGGTAGATTGATAAAGACAGGATAGAATAAGCAGTGATGATTATATAAGATTTGAGGCATGATACCTTCCATTTTTTAGAGAGCTAGCATTTATTCAAGTAGTTAGTCTATGTTAGTAGGGAAGTACTGACTAAATTGTTTCAGTTAAGGGTAGGAAAGTATAGAAAAATTAAAATAATGAGATGGAAAAAAATATATATATATATTTATGAGATTTACAGAGGAAGAGAGAGAGAGAGAGAGAGAGAGAGAGAGAGAGAGAGAGAGAGAGAGAGAGAGAGAGAGAGAGAGAGAGAGAGAGAAGGAGGGGAAGAGAAAGAGAGATTGAAGAAACAAAATGGATAGGGAGGAGGAAAGAAAGAGACAAAGAACAACAAAGAGAAAGAGATTGTGAGAGAGAGAGAAAGTAAAGTAAAAAAAAAATTCAGACCCTTCATTTCCAAACCCATTCAGCAATCGCCCAGGAAGTGTAGCAGAGTGTGAAGCTCGGGGATTGTTGGTGGAGCATCGCCTTCGTCTGAGAAGAATTAACTCCCAAGAAGCCCTAAGAGAACTACATAAGCTTTATCTACTTTATTCTCGCTTGCATGGTGAACAGAGCTCTAAAACACTAGCCATGCATAATCTGACTGTCCAGGTTTGTTTGCATATGTTTTCCTTTAATGTAAAATGAATTTCCTTTTTTCTTCCTTTTCAAATATTTTTTGCTTCTGATCATTTTTAACCAGGGAAAGCAAAAATTATTTCAAGTGAATAATTCATATTTCAATGATATCAGATTTGTCATACTAATGCAATACTTATACATTTGAGAAATCTAGCCATCCTGTTGGTGCATAGTTATCCTATTGGAAATAGGCATTTTGTTATAGAATGACCAAGTGACTGACAACATGTTGCAGTCTTGCTCATTCTTTTTGATTTATAGAATGTAATATAAAAGCCATTTATACCCTAGTCACTAGTATAGTGTTTTATCATATTGTGAGGGTAATATTAGCCATCTGACAAGCTTACTGATCAGTTTATGTTCTCTACACTAGGTTGAGAACATAGATGTGATTAGGACCAATACAGTGGTGGTATGCATTTACAACAAGTTAATGGCTAAAAGTGAGAGTTTCAAAATACTTTTTTTTATATAAAATGCCATGAATATATCTATTCCAATGGAGGGTGAAGAAACTCATCCTTCCAGTACATTCATGTGGTTGTAGTCAAAGCTTAGATGTTGCATGTTTCATGGTAAG